CTGGTTGGCATACACAACCGGCAGCAGCCAGTCCTCCAATTCAATCGTTTCATTGTGGTATGCTCTGCGGTTCTTGTCATTGTAGAGTTGCAGGCGTGCAAGCTGCATGGACTCCAAGACTGGTCGCTGTGTGCAAAGCTGGCTGTACAGCTCTTTCATCATAACTTGTGCCGCTGAGACTGTCACTGTATATGACATCGCCACCACCACCAGCAATCCCTTGTTCAACAGGCAGCTCCCCAGGCTGGTCTCATAAGCGTTAGTTGGGCTTGACATCAGCTCCTTCGAAGGGTCGATGCTAGGGAGCACCTGCTTGCCTGACTGGCAGGCATTCAGTATGCAGATAGGGACATTCGCGCGAACCAGCAGCTTTGCAAGCTCTGGTGCTTTTACCAGGTCCACTACACCCGCTCCCATTCCTTCCAGCATAAGAAATGCCTTCACTCCTTGGTACTGTCCCAATGGTTTGCGACCACAACGGCGATGCTGCCGTTCTTGGTCATAGTTGAGCACAAATCTGACCTGGTCATAGTCCAAAAGTGCTCCGTGACAATCAAAGTGCACCATGTGGTAGTAACCTGGTCCTCTGGCCTCCAGCTGCTTGGAGAGAGCCTCAAAAGTCCCGGGTCGTAGCAGCTCAACGTTAACCCTCAGTTTGCCTGCCAGGACAGCCTCGACCACAAGCCGTGAGATCGTGCGATACCCCACATCCCGTTCCCCTCCCGGTCGAGCCACCACCACCAGGAGGTTCAGCACTGGGGATGCTTCCGTGGGGATCGGTGGTGTGGCTCTCTCCTGCGACCTCCTCACCATGGTGCAGTCCACTGCAAGTGGCCGCAACCGACCCGGATCCCACAGTGCCTCCCAATGCAGGGCATGGAAATCTGGCGACTGGCTGACAATCTCGATCACTACCTCACTCAACTGCTCCAGCAGTGCAGTGTATTCTCTGCGAGATTGCTCACAGTCAAAAATTTGCAGGAACAGCTGTGTCCCATAGTCCTTGATGCTGCTGGCCGCTCGCTTCGCAATGGCAGTGTTGATGTATGGGAACCTCTGCCACTCTTCGAAATACAGCTCCAGCTCGTCCTCCTGTCTCTTCTGGAATGGATTTGTGATGGTCACCTGATAGCATCCCTCACCATCTATTCTCAGCTCTGCAGTGAAGCCGGACTTGGGGGCACCAGCTGTTTTCACGATGGTGATGGTGTGCATGATGCAATTCCTGTTGCAAGCAGAGGGCACCTTCTTAGCCATGAATTCCTTCCACTAGCACCTGTCTGGGAACCATGCTTGCCTCTCCTCCATGCTGAAGAAGCCCATATGGTTTACAGAGATGACAAAAGTCCACAAGAGATGGACAGTATATCTGATTGCAAATCTGTGCGATGCATGCATGTAGTGCTGTGCAAACATGGAAGCTTGGTGTGCAAGAGCTCTATGTGCTTGTAGGATTCAGTGTCCACACAAACTGTTGGCAGGACTACAATGTGAACAGGACGCCATGGTGTTTGCAGTCCTTGGTTTTATCACTTCAGCATTTGGAGATCCTTATGGCAACAAGAACCACTGGTACCTTCGTCACTATGGCAGCCACATATTTCTCTATTGAAAATTACCAATTAGTACGTCAGTTCTCTTGGAATATTCGATAATAGGGCTGCTGGGGGCTCATTAGTTCAACATTTCAGTTCATTGCAAGGATAAAATATGTTGAAGCAATGGGACTGTGCTAGTTGTTGCATGAAACCAGTCAAGTATATTCTGCCACACAGGCCATGAAAAACAACAGCTCTTGCACGTTGTAGATGCCGATGGGTGCCAAAACAATCGATCATTGCTTGTTCTATGCTCCCAGTTCATAATTCCGCACACCCTGGTGAAATGGCGACTGGAGTTTTCACGTTGATGCACTTCTTGGAAAGAGCTCAGTTCTGGCACATTTCGCTGCAGCGAATTCGTTCATTCAACCAAACTGGAGAAGCAGCTTGATTGGTTCCACACCAGAGCTCCCTGTTTGGCGCCCAGCACTGGTAGCGCCCCTTTCTGGCTCGGTGCACTTTGTGCAGCACACTAGACCGCGCCGACTGTTCGGCGGAAGCTCGAACCGTTCTTTCGACACTGAAAACATGCCCAACGGATGTGTCTTGTATGCCTGCGACGAGGTTGAGCTGCGTTCCACAAAACAGATGGGACTGGGCGTCAGAAAGCGCGTCAAGGGCAGGGACTCTGTACCTCTGGTGTCGCCCTTTCCCCCTTGTGGGTGCGGTTCCTGGAATCCTCACAGGAAGGAGGACCGTCACCGCAAAAAGCAAGGCTTACACCAGCCGGGTCTCCTCAAAACGCCCGATGCCGCCGTCCCGTCCGGCTAGGCGCCCCGATGACGACACTCCCTGCGCAGCATCGACACACCGTGTTGCCAAGATAGACCCCACAGCTGTTCCAAATCGCAGCTCTTGCACGCGCTATGATGTCCCGGGCTTCCAATAAGGGGTTGGATAGGGATGCGAAGAATTCGGGCAACGCTCAGGATACGCATAATCGCGGCGCTGAACAGCTACGACCGGGCGCGATTTCGTTACCGCGTTGCCATGATGCCCTGTACGGCCGTCCCAAAACGCAACTCTCGCGTGTGTTGCGATTCCCCGTGGCTTCAGATAAAGATTTGGGCTCGCATCAACGCGAAGAGCCCATGCATCGCAACTCGGCTCCCACTATTGTGGCAACCATATGCATGCGCTGCGATCTCTCTGCCCCCCGATCGTCCCGTCCCCGTCAGCGCGGCAAGACAAACACTGCAATGAAGGCCATTCAAGACCAGTTCACGGCGTAGCTGCGCGCACCAGAGCCAGAGCAAAGAGTGCCGTGGTAAGCGCCGATTTGCTTGCATGCACCTTCCGCCAGGATGGGGACCACGGACATCGTATGGGCGTCCCAACACGCGGCCACGGTCAGATGCATACCCGTAAGGTGGGCGCCCGCACACAGCACCTGCTGCTGGTTGGAGAGGTTTGCAGCCGATTCGGTACGAACTCTTGTAGAGTTGCGCGGCTGTGTGGCTTGTAGTCAGCGCAGGCAGCGAAGGACCAGAAGCAGGTCTGCGGGAGCACCTTCGATGCGGCTCGACTGCCAGCAACGAAAACAAATGGGTCAGGTCCTGGTTTGCAAGCTTCCACTGCAGACCTGACACATTTACTTTCGTTGCCTGACACATATATTCTCCTGATTCCTGACAGGCTTATTTTTGGTGCCTTAAGGCACCGCAGATCGACTCCCCAGAATCCAGGAATAGGCGCCATAGACGCACATCTGGCTGCACGTCTGGCAGCCTGACTCTCCTGTGTGAACATCAAGGGCGCGAGGGCAGTCCTTAGGAATGACAGAAAACGGAATAAAAACAGCCTTGCGGTCACATATTGGACCAGAGTGACGGTGCAATACACAAAGCGTATATTGGGTCATGCTAAGTCGCATTGTTGGCAGTTGGCCATTTGCTGCAGTTCGCCAGGCAGACGCTGCGGGAATAGCGACGGTGGCAGGTCAACCTGGTCGCGGTAATGAAAAGTGCATGTGAACCATATCCCTGTACAACTTTTCCCACACAATAACAAAGCATAGCCCTTACACCTGAAATGCGATGACGGGAATAAATGCACATTGGGGTACATTTGAGAACGACTTATTTCTCAAGGGAAGTCGGAGCCGCCAGTACCCTGGCAACGCCGCGCACGTCTAACCAGTGATTTGTCCCTGTTGGTTGAGCTGATTCCATGCCAAGCAAACTTACACGCCGGATTTTTCAAGCCGCCCTAGAAATCAAAGGACGACCGAAGAATGAACACGAAGCAAGGAGGATGGCGACCGCGACGAGTATGTTGGCAGGAGCCACCGTTGTGGCTGCAAGAAACCGGCGAGGCTGGTGTTATACATAGCTGGACAGCATGTGGAAACTTTTCCAATTTGCACGGAGACACGCTGTACCGTATCCGTGTGCACACATCCACCCTTCGGCACATGCATCGCCCATTGCACTGCAGTACAGAATGCCTTTCGCTGCGCATTTAATTGTGCGCAAGGACCTGCCATGCAGAGCAGCAATCATTTGGAATCGGAGGTGGCTCCATTTAACGAGGCTCGTTACCAACTGTTCTAAACTTGTCGTTGTTCTTCCGGTCTTCTGTTCCTCTGTCCAGGAGCAGTGGACTTCATTGCCCAACTTTACATCCTGCTTGCATCCGTCCCAGATGGTCCTGTTCAAGCTCAACGGTTTGCACGACTGGAGGGAAGTACACAGGTGGACCTAGCAACCCTTCATGGTTCAAGCAGAGCATTGGGCAACTCTCACACGTCAACGTTCTCGCATGAGACTTGTCGAAAGGCATGTTGCGTATAGACGACGCGCCGGTGGCCTGCTTTTCAAATGTGAGCCTCACAAACAAGTCTGCGATGATACGGTTTGGCGCGGGCTTCACGCATGATGAATCACAGATATTAGATCCTGGTGCTTCAAAGCGTGCAGACGATCTGCAGCGTGGACGACCCATGACCCAAGGCGCTACTCTCTGAGTATTGCATGATCATGGGCACAGCCAATGGGTGTGAAGTTGCCGTATCCTTGTGCTGTACAAGCTATCATCGTGTGTCCAAATCGTTCCACCTGCATTAACTAATGCCAGCCTCTACCTGCGACTTTCCCCAACTAACACCGCCACACAGCCAATGGCAGTTCTAAGCATTCAGGCAACCCACACCGGGAGCATCTCCATCCAATTACATCTCACAAGCCTGCCGCAAAGCCGAGAAATCATCCGCAAGCGCTGTACGAAAGCGGCACTCCAAGTAGCACCAAGATCAAACTGTTTGCTCCCGTCCACACATCTGATTCACACCAGATGCGGTGCGCTTCTGAAACACAACTTCACCGACAGGATGCACTTTAAAAGCGCGCCAAAGTTGTGTGAAAGGCGCATCTTTCAGCCAGCCAGCGGTGCCTCGCACCATCAGTTCCCGCCCGTAATTGTGGCCTGCATGGCACTAGAGACGTTCATGAGCTGCAAGAACTCGTCGGCGCCGTCGGCAAGACACTTGTCTGCAATGGCCATCGTCTCGCAGATTTGTGCTTTCTGTACGTCCCTCAAAGCGGTGTCGGCCACCACAGCCCTCTGCAGCTGCAACAGGACCTGTGTAGCGAAGAGGCACTGCTTAGACACCAGCTGTCACAGTACCTGAGCTCGTCGATGAAACTAGACAATGAATGCGTTATTAGATCAAGAAGTCTTGCCTATTACAGTTGAGGTCCTAATTAGTAATAGCCTGGGTTGCACAGTACATGATTGTCGGCAATTTCGCACGATCTCCGCATGAACAATTGTGAATGGGCTGAATTTTGCACATGCATCAAAGGGTGTACACTGTCAATGTAACACAAGCCTTTGTTGATCGACCCAAGCACTCGTTGCCCGATATACATATTGCCCCTTGCCTTTGCATGTAGCAGTCTTGATCGACACACAAGCAAAAATGGGCTGATTGAATTGTCAAATTGATGCATGGAATGATGCACATATGCACAATGTTCTTGCTTGATTCACAGGTGGAAAACTAGGCCTGTCGAATTGTATATTTGTCACTTGATCGAAACACCAATTCAAGTATTCAACCATTTATCCAGTTATACCGTGATTATGAATGAACCAAATGCACAACAGGCAGACCGGTCCTCAGGCCATTCAACGTAAGGCAAAGCATGCCTGTTGGAACATCCACCATGGCACATACACGAGTCGAAATACATATGTGACGTGAGGCTGGCATCACCACGGGATGCAATAGGTGTCTTGGCAATGGATCGATTTACCTGGTGGGTAGCGCTGCAGACGAAACACCTGATTGCAACAGTTGCTCAACAGATGGCTGTAATTACCAGATACTGAGCACTGCAGCCAGATTGTCCCACTGAGTGTTACCTCTGCGTCATCTTTCTCATTATGGCCAAGGGCCTCACAAAATGGTTTCTCGGGGTGCCCAGTGCTCTACATGTTTCTTTTCTGTCAGAAATGCTGCAACCATTTAGTACAATGTTGGCGACTGTGCACCTGAATATGTCATTCAGTTATTGGACATCTTGTTTTGTAGCAAAATTGCCCAGATGGGTGCTACCTGCTGTGTGGCATAGCCATTGGACATGATAGCTTCCACAGCCTCCCCGACGCCACTGAATCCAGCTTCCCGGCAGCGACCCAGCAGGCCCATCACGATGTCAGTGGGAACGACGCCTCCAACGTCCAACAGAGTTGCACTGGAGGAGCAAGGTATTAGCAGCCAATTCAAAACAGGAGAATGAGAAACTCATCAATATCAGGAAGACAGCAGCGTAATCTCATCCATGTGCTTTTTACCTATTACATTTCATTCATTGTCAACCATTATCTAAGCATGACAGGTAACAGATGACCCTTTCGGAATACGGATTCAGATTTGGTGGGTCGGTTCAGAAGCACATGCGTTTGCTGTTGCTGAAATATTAGAAAATGGGTTGCAGCATCAAATTAACGGGCTCTGAATATTCAAGCAACAGGCCACAAACACACAATGTTAGGGTGCAAATGCATCGGAGCAAAACGGTATGGGATCTACATCTCAATGCAAATGAACAACTGAAGCAACTGAAGCACAACTACACAGCATGCACACCTCTCAACAGGCGTCCCTTTCAGCCTCACAGCGCTCTGCAGGGTAGTGACGGCCTTCCTCATATCACCCCCCGCCACCATGTCCAGTGTTCTCATCGCGCCATCGCTCACCTTGAACAAACGACGATTTATCTACGCCCGTCATCGCCTTGGCATGCGCAAAGGGGCATGCTCTTCCATGTTCTCACAACATTTTGGCACTTATCCTAGCGTGGGAAGCAAAACAAAGGGGAAAAGAAAACACGTTGTGGAATGCACAATCTGCTGATGGAATCACCATCACCATGTGAATGCAGTAACAGTGCAGTGTCGCATTGCAACCAAAAAACATAACGACAATAATCTGCAGCTTGCGTTTGGATTTATGATTTGTAACTTGCGTTTATGGCTAAAGCTACAGTATTTATGGCTGGTAATGGCTGAAGCTATTCTTACTAGAGTAAGAACAGCCAAACGAATTTATTCCTTTGCCCACCTCCACGCCCTCCATGCCACAGATCTCCCGTATGCGCCGCTCAAGACCATCCAATTGCAAAGGTCGGAAGCGGAATTTCATGCAGCGGGAGGCGATTGGCTCGATGATGCGGCTGACATAGTTGCAGATGAAACAGAAGCGGGTGACTTTGGAGTAGGCCTCCATCGTGCGTCGCAGGGCGTTCTGGGCATCCTGCCAGGAGCCAATTAATCAATCTAGTTTCCTCGATTGTTGCACCAACAACAAAGGTCGCCTTGTGTGCAGTGCTGCTAGCCTGAGAACCTCATGTGCATTCTACAGCAGTGTTTGTTTCTCGAAACTGACAGATGCTCGTTGTTGGGCACTGTTGCAGTTGACGAATGAGAGTCACTATGAATTTTAGATGAAAAGTTGAGAATGCAGCAATGGAAGACTTTCGAACTGTTGTGCTTGAGATGCTGCCTGTTTGAGCAATGAACCTGTCATACAACATAAGTGACTAAAGTAGGCAAGACAGGTAATCTAGACCATGGGTAGCTTGAAGGCTAGTCAGTAATTCCCGGCCATTTCTCCATGCAAGGCAGTGCTATTTTGCTGGTGGATTCGTCTTTCCTGACTTTTGGTGAAAGTGGAGCACATTTCACTTTGTGGTAAAGAGAACCAAAGAGATCAACATCTAGCAACATAATAGGAGCACAGAAGTCCAAAGTCAGTCAAAACGATCAACTGAGTCCATCCACTCACAATGGTGGAAATGGCACAAAATGCGTAAATTTTAATAGGATTTTGTGTGTTTGTGACTCGCTTGCACATTCAGCACATGGTTTTGACGACTAAACAGGATTTCAACACTCCATTGTATGTAAACGATTCCATCATGGAAAATAGCCAACTATTGCAAATTTCCCAGGGAGGGCACATGCCTTGGTCATGCAGTCTGCTTCATCCAGAATGAGGAGCTTGAACCTAGGGACGTCCCTGCCAGCCGACGTGTGCTCGCCCACTGCCGTGGCTGCAAACGACTTAATCTTGTCACGAACAACATTGATTCCACGTTCATCGCTTGCGTTGAGCTCCAGCACCCGTGTTCGAAACAGCTCAGGCCTGTCCATCAGCAAAACCATGCTTCAAGTTTGTGCACATGTCAATCGTGTAACAGATGAAGGTGGCGGATGTTGCGATGGAAAGCCACATGCAACTCCACTTGGCATTGCTGGTGCGAGCAGTGCAACATGGGGTACAACCAAAACATGTTGTGTGTTCACCAGCTGGACACAGTTTGGTGTTCTTCCCGTCCAGAACACAAGAATGCAACGTGATGTTATGGTAAGTATGCAACACATACAATACTGTCCAAGATGCAGTCCCTCATGGGCTCAATCCCATCGGGATCTTCTCATACCATGATCAATTCTTATTTTTGCCCCAGAGGGGGGAGAATTTGGCAGAGGAGAAATTTTCAACACTAGCACTATTAAGCAAATGATGCAGATGGCATTATGCCCGTGAACATATTGCCACTGCAATGGCAGTGCCTTGGCAAATATGGTCATGGTACTAAAATTTGGCCGCTTTCTGGCTGCAAACAAACAGCTTCGAAAGAACAGGTGAACGGAATTAGGTCAGCAAACTCCTTTCAGGTGCAAGGGTAATGTTGGGTTGCATATGAACACGTTCAATGAAACTATTCAAAAATGAACAGTCCATTGCTGCTGGAAGTTCTCACCCAAACAGTTCTCGCCCCACTGCCAGGGCAGTGGAAGTCTTGCCAGTCCCAGGGGGCCCATGGAGCAACAGGTGTGGCATCTTGAAGGAACATGCACAGACCACACGTTTGGTCACACACTGGGATAAATATAGGGTAGCACAGGCCCATCACCTGAGCGGTGCAGGGTCCATGTTCAGCAATAATTGGACAAAAGTGGTCCAAGTTGATGTCCATCGGTAAAACAATGCATACACATTCAACGAATCGCACATTCAATGGCCAGTGCAACAGCTGCAGCACTGTCATGCTGGTGATGTCTTTCCAAGCCAATGCAGCACCAACATAGCTACTTTGGCTATGGGGATGAAAATCGGTCATCAATTAATTGTACAATTCAAAATGGTTTGTGGAACAGCATGAATCCCAGTCACCGACCCATGGCCTGCCACAAGACAGTACAACCTGTGTTTAGGCACATTCTCCTTTGACCTAATGCCAGGCACAACATCCCACGATCCAGTAGAGATATGAAAGGCCATGGATGAACTCAATGCAAAAGTTTTGAGCAGCAATTTGTCAAGTGTGCAGTTGGCATGCTCCACGACCCACTCAGCGTACATAGGGTACACCAACTACCAAATTTGCAGTTGCAGCAACAACACTACAACACTCGTTGGATGTCGATGAGGGTTTGCCTGCGGAACTGTGCACGCACCTATCAAGGAATGTGTCAAGTTTGTTTTGGGGAATTTCTTTAGAGGTACATGGCATGACCACTGCGTTCCACCATGCTATCTTGGAGGACGCCTTACTTTTATGCAATTGCCACAACCATGCTGCAGCTACTGCTCTGTTCTTCATCAATAAAGTTTATGCTATTTGTCTAAGTTGTGGAGCAGCTGGACTTGACGATCTGCTGGACGAGGTAAATTTTGCTTCTTTTCAGACTCAATATTGCCACTGGTAGCTCATTCTCTGCAAACTGGAAAATAGACCCAATGGAAGTTACCAGGAAGGGTTGCTCCAAAGTGCGACCTATTTATTGCTCTCAAGAAAACACTTCAGCAGCATTTTTCCACCAAATATTGCAATTTTCTGCTGTATGATACTGTCCTCCCTATGTTGGCTATCGTACAACCACTTGCTCATTCTGGCAACATAGGCATGCCAGTAAAGAGGCACGATCTGATAATGTGTGGACATACATGGAAACCATGCTCCCCATATGCCGACTCTGCCTCTTGTTGCAACAGCGACAACTATTAGAATTAAAAACCTGTAGTACATCCAGGCCTGTGAGCAACATGGATACATTGGGCATGCTGCAGCAGGTGGTAATGCTGATGGTGAAGCCTATGGCCCATTTACAGGCAGCTGTGGGCAGCCATGGACCAATCTGTGTGCGTTTTGTTGGTACATATTTTCCTCTTCACCAAGCGGCCAGCAAACAGAGCTTTTTCAGACCCAAACTGTAGAAGATGTGGACAGATTGTGTCGTGCACAGGACAGACAGAGGGTACATCACACACAGGACATGGCTGACATCACCAGCTTGGTGAAAGGAGTTGCCTTGCCATGTTGCGACAAGTATGTAGTCAATGGATTTGGACACACTGGACAGTTCGTTTGCAGGATAAGCTGTGTGAATCTCCCCCGCACAATGTGGGAATTGGCAACATAGGCAATGAAGTGCTCATCGTTGCCTTGCGAGTGCAAACACAGTCTTTTGTCTAGCAGACAACGCAACGACATTTAAAGATTCAGGCAGCACTAAAACAACATATTGGTCAATAAGATAAACGTTGGCCTGCACCTACATGCTTATCTTGGATGGCCTTCCGGAGTGTGTGCACCACCTCCTCCTGGTGTGCGATGTCTTCGATGGTCTTTGGTCGGCTGGGAAGGGCCACAAGGACAGCACACTCAGTGCGGAGGGCTCCTTTTCCAGAACGGTGGAATGCGTCCATGACAGTCGCGTGAAAATCAATAAACCAGTCTCGGCACAATTCTGCGCTGAATTGAGAATCAGCAGAACAGAAACGTGCCATGCAACGGGCAACCTCTTCTTGAGCAAGCGCGTGCATCAGACCCCTTTCTCTCTTACAGTACCTGACAAAAAAGTCTTCCAGCGCGACAGGAATAACGAGAAACACTTAAAAGCATGCACTGCAACTTGGCATCGTACACAAGCCGATTCTCAGTGGTAAAATGCACTGGAACAACCGCAAACACGCAGACAGACACACAAGAGGTGATCGTCCAAAGGCATCTGGGCCATCGTTCATACACTCGCCCGGGCACTCAGTTCCCAATTCGCAGCTGGAGAGACCACAGCCGGTGGCGCGGGCCTCCATGTGGTCCCTCCCGCCGTCCAACGCTCGCTGGACGCAGCGGAACGGGACAGGACCACCACAGCAGTCGAATTGCAGCGGCGTTCAAAATGATCGCGCCGGTCGACTCCGACAAGCGAAAGCGGGCGGGATGGAGATTGTGCCCATGTCGCCATCCGGCATGCAGCACAGATCTCAGGGGCGCGAACCGCAGGCAAGGCACGGGGGGAGGGGGATGCTAAAGCCGCGGAGTTCAGGCGACTCACTATTTCTCCACCCATGGCTGGTTGGGGACCTTCATGGCGACTGCCGCGCGCCCAAGCCGCCCTCCACCGGGCCGAAGGCCGCCCAGCGCCAGAATCACGGCGGGCTGCAACAGAAATCCAGCGACTTAGTCAGCGCCAACGGCGCACAATTTGGGCGTCGTGGGCGCAGACGGCGGCCGAAATTTTCTGGATTGCAGAGGGCTCGTCGAGCGCCTGGTGACTTCGGCCGTGGCGCCGCGGTTGAGCTGATAGCGGCGAGCCAGACGTGGACGCCCCGACTCCACCTCGGGGACTGCCTTCCGGGGACCGCGCAGGCGGCGGCGCCCAGCGGATCGACCGCCCCTCGCGCCGTAAGCCCTCTACTCCCAGGCAAGGTCGGCGCCCGTCGCGCCGGGCGGAAAGCGCGCGGCCGACTCCAAGGCGGGTCGTCTGCCAGCCGTCACCCTGGGTGAAGGCATCCGGTGGTCGCGTTGCGACGCCGCGGGTCGCTGTCCCCGCACCCGTCCTGTCTTTCCCGGTGGGCTGGAGGGTGAATCTCCGCGCAACGGCCCCCTCCCCGTCCCCACTTCCGCATGCTCTCCCCCGGCGCCCGCCGTCGCCGAATGCCTCCCATCCCACCCCACCTTCCGGGCGTCCTGACACCTCCCCAAGCCTGATCGTCCCTGCCAAGATGGCCTGACTCCCCTCCCCTCGGTGCAATCACCCATCTTGCGGGCCCGCACTCCCACCCCAGCCCCTTCAACAAAATCTCCCCCCTACCCCCCACCCCTCCTCGTGCCTCCCAAATTGCCCCTGACACCCCTCTTCGCCGGGATGCAACCTCCGCAGGCGGCCCAGGCGACGCGGCGACCCAGCCCGGGATGGCCGACGCCGCGGGCGCCGCCCAGCCGCCCCAGGGCGACGCGCCCGCACCCCCCGCCCAGGCGCCTGCGTCAGCGGCAGCCACAGATCAACCCCCCGCTCAGGCCCAGGCCCCAGCCGATCCCCCCGCCGCGCAGGACCCCCCAGCGGCCAGCGGCCCGCTGGCCAGCCCCGCGACCGTGATGGACTCGTCGAAGCCGTCGGGGGCGCCGGAGGGCCAGGATGCGGGCGGGGATGGGCAGAAGGGCGCGGCCAAGGCGGCGGCCGCGAAGAGCGCCGGGCGCGCGCTGACGGTGCGCCAGTACCTGGAGTCCACGGTGGTGCCGACGCTGATGGGCGGGATGCAGGCGCTGGTGAAGGAGCGGCCCGAGGACCCCGTGGAGTTCCTGGCGGCGTACCTGCTGAAGAACAACCCCAAGAAGAAGTGCGAGGAGACCAAGCCCCCGGCGGCTTGATTTTGGGGATCCTGACATGACCCTTAGCTTTTGCGAGCCATTGGCGCCCAGGCGCGGGCAGGGGTCGACGGTGAGCGAGATCGCCGGGGGGCACCGTTGGTTGGTTGTCCGCCTTGCTGGCTCAACGACGGATCGAGCCATCTGAGGGGGACTTGCGCGTCGGGGACTGGACCCCGATGGGCGGCCGCGAGAGACAGGCGGTGGACTTGGCTCGGCCATCGATCCAAAGGACGGCCGCACCCTTGGGAAAGGTGGCGCGGAGGTGGGGGGATGGATTTGGGAGGGACGGCGCAGCGCTCCCGCCGGCCGCGAGGCGCCTGTCGGTTGGGTCGGTGGCCATCGAGGGGAGCGCGTCGACCCGGGGGTGGGGCGCGTCCGATGGCGGTCCTTGGACGTCAGGCGGGTGTGAGGGTGAAGATGCCCTGTCGATGGCAGGGTGCGCGCGACGCTCCTGTCCGCTTGGGACGCTGCCAGATGCAAGGAAATTGGCTGGAGTGTTGTTGGTGTGTGGGTGCGGTCTTGCGGCGACCGGACTGAAAGCGAGGTCATGGGAAAGGCGGGTCCGAAGGCAGGCAACTAGCTCAGGAGCATTCCGACCTCGTTGACCTCGGCCGCCTCCGGGAGTTCGATCCCCACGGGCCAGCCGCTTTGCAAGTCGACTTCGGCGTCTGGCATCCAAGTGGGGTGCGCTTACGCTCGTCGTCCAAGTTCCGCGATGGCTTGGAGGGGGCCGCAGGGCACGGGGGCAGAACTGCGGGCGCTCCTGGGAGGGGGTTGGCGTGCCTGCAATGGTCGGAGTCATGGCGTCGCAGACTGTGCACGCCAGGTTCCGATGAATTGATCCTTTGAAAGATCCTCCTCGCAACCCCAGCGCGGGCATCGCCACATCGCCAGACACGACGGTGCCGGCATCGCGCCGAGCGGGGAAGCCCCAACAGTTGTTTGGAAAGGACCGTCCACGGGAATGGCAAAATACACGCAGACTTCTTCGCGCGAGCAACGGCGGGCGGGCGCCCCTCTTGCCGGCCCCACCACGACGGCCACCCGCTCGCCAGCCCGCCGTGTCCGTGCCTCCACAAAACTCGGCCTTTCGGGGAAGTGGCGGAGCCGCACCTCACCCACCCCACACTCGAGGTGGATGCGAGGCTTTGCGGCGTCAGTACTATTCACCGAATAGCAGTGCGTGAAAACGCACAACCCTGTGACATTAATGGGAAATTGGCATCAATGAATGACCTTGCATTTTGCAGCCCATCCCCGCAAGAGGCTCACAAGAGGGCCCCAAGGGACGCACAAGAGACCCCACAAGGGACGCACAAGAGACCCCACAAGAAACCAACATGAGACGCCATAAGAGGCCCACAACAGACCACCCAGAATGCCGGTTTGTGATCTTGTGTTTGTGCCCAGGCATGGGACTGCGTCGGGACACGAGTTCTTGATGTACCAAGTCAGCAACATACCCCGCACGAGAGTCTCTGGTGGCCGGAGTACACCGCGACGGATTGCACCAGAGGGCCACCCCAGGGGGGGCCACCGTGGCATACCGCACTCCGCCCGCCGCCCTCCGCCCTGCCTGACTTCATATCTGGTTTTCAGACCCCTGGGGCATTACTAGGCGGGCGTGGCAGAACGGCCTCTGGCTGATGGATCCCTGGGCCAACGAGCCCAACGCCCACCACTGATTTGGCGCCCCGAGGCACGCGTGGCCGGAGGGCGAAGCCAATCCCAACACCGCCCCCTCCCCCCCTCCCCTCTCTCCCCCCGCGGTACCTCCCGCCGCCCCCACGCCCCGCCTCCAGCCCTATTCGGCACCCCAGCCGAGGCCTACGGAAGCGCGAGATCGACATGCTGGGCGCGAAACAGACCCGTGGGCTCTGCCCGCTGCGGCCCCCACCCGCCCGGCGTTTGCCGTCGGCGCCGCGATCCGCGATCAGGCCCCGTCGTCCCGCCCCCGACGCCGTGGCCGCATGCCGGATCCAGTCGCCTCGGCCGCCGACGCGTTCGTTGGGACTCGCGGCCGGGATGGGCGCATCGCGGCCCTGCGGCGCTCGGAGGGGGGTCCACGCGGCAGTTGCGGCCGCGGGGGCGATGCCTGCCGGCCAGGGGGCGAAGAAGGGGCCACTGGGGGGGCTGATCAACTTCAGCACGGAGAACCTGGCGGGGGACTTCACGGGGGGGCTGACGGCGGCCGTGGTGGCGCTCCCCCTGGCGCTGGCCTTCGGCGTGGCTTCAGGTGAGCGCGCCCCCCGCCCCCTCCGCGCCGTCGAGCGGTCTGCGGCGATTGGACTGGATCGATCGCCCCTCGTCGCGCGGGGCTGTGATCGGCGGGGGTGGGATCGATTCCTGGGATGGGCATTTGATGCGCGGGTCAGGAGGGGAGTTTATAGTGCGCGGGTCAGGCGGAGGCTTGATGGCCAACGGTTGAGTGGGGCACGGCGCCGGTTGAACGCGGCTGTGGAATGCCTGGCCGCCTCGCTCATTCCCGCCGATTGTGCCGGTTTGGTGCGTGCGGGACGTTGATGAGCGCGATGTGGTGGTGCGGTGGGGAGGGGCAGCGAAGTTGTGGGCCCATTCCTGGGACTGGTTCAGGGCAGTGAGGTTCGTCGGGTGGGCCTGGCGCGCAGGTGCCGGGCCCCTGGCGGGCCTGTACGGGGCGATCTTTGCGGGCTTCCTGGCAGCGCTCTTCGGAGGCACCCCCGCCCAAGTGACGGGACCCACGGGGCCCATGACGGTGGTGATGGCCGGCATGATAGCCCAGTGCACCCAGCACCCGTCCGCGGCCTTTACCATGGTCTTCTTCGCGGTGGGTGGGACGCCGATCTTGATTGCTTCGACCTATCTTTGTCTTTGGCTGTGGACGCCGCTGCTGATGCAACTTGTTGGCCCCCTATGGACCTCCAACATTTCCACAGCGTGGCGATGTTGGGGCTGAAAGCGCGGATAAAAAGGTCACGGCTGCGGATGCCCAGCCGTGCGCCACCATCGGAGCAGGAAATGATTCCGCAACCGGGCCTTGCTGCCCCAGTGATGTTCTGTTTACTGACTGGAATGGATTCTTTGATCACATTTCGCACACAAGGCAAAACAGCTCACCTGCAGGCCGCTGGCAATGCCAAACCACTGGATGGCGCGTTCGTGTGCTGTCCTGGCCCCTCAGTGTGCTTCTGGCATGCTATGCTTGCAGGCCATGCACGGACTATTTTCATGCGATTGCCACGTGCTCATTGGGATATTGGGTTTTGGGTTTGTGCCATATAGAGTGTTTCTTTAACAAAGACAGCGATGGAGGGAGCACCCTGTGGTTCAGCACTCTCTCCACAAGACTCTCTATCGATTCCACCCAAGTCTTAGAAAGCGAAGAATAGCATGGCACTGCGCAATACACTTGCTCCAGGATCATGGTGGCATCTGGACTCTTACATATGATATAGCAATTTGGAATAGAGGAATCGTGTGCGCTAGGCACAAGGAGCAATCCTAACTAAATACATTCACAAAATGTGCTATTAAACATTGTATGGGGAGCTGCGTTGTGCCCAGTGGTGGCATTTATTGCCAGCCGCACTGAAACAGCCAGTGTCCTGAAAGTGAGCAGCCGGGCCTTGTGTCAATTTAAGCCTTTCCAATCGGTATCTTGAAACTATTAGAAAAGAGAAGAACAGCCAAGCCTACCACTGGACAATCTCAAACCAGTTGACACAGCTGAGTTGCCTTAATGTGGACTCAGTCCACAACTCCCTATACCCTGTTTCGCCTGTCAGACCACCACTCTCTTCTGAGCATTTGGGCTTGCTGTATTCAGGGTTTACTGCAGATTTTGATGTGGGTGCTAAAACTCGGCCGTTTCATCAGGTGGGCAGAAATGTGGCCTGGACACATGAGCCTCAATTCCATGTTGGTTGTGCATCTGGGCCACACTGTGACTGGGTCCACGGCAAGAGGGTTCATGATAGCAAAACTGCTGGACCTCACTGCCCTCCATTGTTGCAAAAAGGAATGTTCATAGCTGCCTCATACATATGATAATACTTGCATGTATGGTACCAGCTGCCTTGGCAGCCGTACTTCATTCTTTTAATGCCAACAACCAGATGCTAACACAACTTGCCTGTTTAGCTCATCGTATAACATGAGCAAGCAAGCACTGGTTCCAATGGCAGCCTGAATCTGTGGCAAGAAACTGACCTGTAGGTTATTGTTTTTGATGGTCCTGGCGTTGCAGGCTGTGAATGCACTGTGCTTGTGCCTCAATGGGAAAAGAGATGTACCACTGTGCAGCGAGCATCATACTTGTAGCCTGATCGATTGCAGCAATAGCTTCATCCATAAGCTGGGAGACGCCACCAGTCTGGATAAGGAAACAGGAAGAAAACGCACATACTGAACAATAGTTCCATATGCCATACATGGAGCAATGCATACTCAATACTTGCATATATCACTGGCCAATTTGCGAGGCAATAAAATTTGTGCACGGACCTGTTGGCCCACTCAGAGGTGGTCAGGAAACAAGCAAATGCAATCGTCAACAGTGTGTAGCTAACCCCGATATATGAAAGGGCTGGTGTTGATGATTGCAAGCACCGATGTTTTACGTCCTTAGACTGCCCAGACTCCTTGTGAGTGGCTGTCTCGTCTGGCTTGCAGGCTGGTGCCCTCCCCAGTCACATCGGGTTTCATGTCAGGCATCGGCTGCATCATCATATCCACACAGTTGCTGCCCCTGAGTGGCCTTCCATCGGCTCCCAACGTTGTGGTGAGCTGCTCACAGCACATGTAGACAGATTAGGGGCATCAGAATCTTTTCGCCCCTAGTTTGCATGCTTGCTGTTTTCGAAAATGCTGCTTGCTGTCATTTGCATTCGGTGGAACTGTTCATGTCACTCCAAATTTGACATTGGTCTAATGGGGGCTTGTGAACATATGCTCCAAATGTGCAACATGAATTTGGATGTTTTACAATTCAAGAGGTACTTGTGGACGCACAACACGAAACAGAACACTGTCGGATTCCAGTCTCACTTACTCATTGGCTTTATGTGGCATCCGCTGCAATCAGACCACAATGCTTTTTAGATGCTTCCTGCCCATCTTTAGTGCAAACACCAGATGCTGTGCGACTCAGCTGCCAAGACTCAGCTGGATGATAATTGACGCAGTTATGTTCAGGTTAGCCAATATGCTTGGCCATTAGCTCTATAGTGCAATGCCCACATGTGCCTCACATTGTCCTGTCTGCTTCCCTATCTGCCGCTTCCCCCCTTTTTGGGCAACCTGTTCTCAGCTGTACTCCATCCTACCTCATGCCCTGACCCATGAAAGTTGCAAAATTGTCTCTTCTATTGAGGCATTTTCTTTCCAAGCTTTCGTGTGCCCAAGTTGTTGTTGCCACTGTGTTTTGCTGCCCAATGTGATGTGGCAGATGAAAGGGCAGTGCTTATCATGCTTGACACGTAGGTCCAATGCAGAACTAAAAATGAGTGCCGACTTAGTAGAATGAGCAACGATTTTTGTCCTCACCCCTTTAATTCTGTAGAATTGGAAAATCTGCTGGCACCGCACTCATTCAAATGTGACGTTGGTACTGTGGACTATCTCCATGTGAACCTGTGTCTAACATCGATGGTGCAACGGTCATGTTTGGTCTTTTCTCTTTGAGGTCCATGAATGGAAGTGCACTCCATGCTGAATCATCTTCTTTACACAGAAAGCAGTACGATTGTTGGCAACCCTTTCCTTTGATGGAGAATCGTGGAGTGAGAGGTGTTCGTCCTGTGTGATGGAGCAGCACTGCAATCACTTGTCTGATTTACATTTGGAAGAGGATTGAATGCACATACTCTGCATTCCTATTGCAGGAGCATAAATCACGTCACAGATCGCAGTGCTTCACTCGTTAGTGCATTGAACAGCATAGTGTATGGTGGTGGCAGGGCCTTCAATTTTTCAGGGATTAGAAGAATTCTTGCTGTGTTGTGAACATGGAACCATGTGGCGTGAATTGAGAACAGCAACTACCTCAAAGTGAAAATGACGCCTCTGCATGGCACATGGTTCCTCTGAGGTCATATCGTCAGACAGCATCAAGATTTTCCCGTGGTCCACAAGGCCCACATGTTGTTGCGCACAAGAGGGCGGCCCTTCATAGCAGGCTCCCAACAGTGGACACACTGTATATACTGATGATACACAAAGAACACACAGCAGTAAAATGTACACGTGTGTGTATTGCTACACACAGCAAATTCCCATTTCTTTTCATGGTATGACCTGTTCATTGTCCTCTTTCTTTGTGTCTGGTCTCCTGATTGATTCTGCTGCTGCCCTTCTGGCAGGCTGCAATCAAGGCATGGCCGACGATCCTGACACAAGCCAACCCCCATGCCCTGGGCCTCGGTGCGCTGGCGCTGGCATTCTGCTTACTGACACCGAAGCAGATAACAAAACGGGTCCCAGGGTCACTGCTGGGATTGTTCGTGGGAACTACACTGGCATCTGTGATGGGATTGAGTGAGTGATGCACCTTTTCTTGGGGTGAATTCTTGCAGCATTGACTGTGGATGTTCTCAGGCATGTGCACATCCACATGCCATACAATTGGCATCATATAATCTATGGCCGAAGCAGGTCTCTGCTGTGCCCAGATTTATACACCAAGCCAGAGCAATGGGAGTGAAATGAAGTGTGGGCATGGATTTGTGTATCAGGCTGTGGGGAACGCAGCAGTCAGTCGTAACTGTATGGCAGTCGAACTGTATGACACTCGAAGCAATGGAGTTACTGTGCCTGGAGCGTTGTAAGCTGCAGGAAATGTATACATGCAAGCCCACCACAACAAGGCTTCTTCCTGAGCCACAAATGGTGCCCTGCCAACGGTAGAGTAGCAGTGCCGGCTATACGCCCCAGACGTTATCTTACTTGGAACGTAACGTCACATTTGGGAAGGCAGATTAGGACAGGAGTAGTGCCTGGGCTCTTAAATGTGATGAAATATTTGGATATGACGTGGATATAGTATGTTGAATAAAAAGCTTCAAATTTGCATTATTGATTGTGTTTGACAGGAGCACAGTGCCATGTTTGCCTGAGCAAATATGTCTTTGCTCATTAGGGGATACCCATTGCATGAAATGTTCTTCCTCTTCTTTAACAGCAGGTTCTTCTCTCTCCTGCAAAAGCTGCAATTGCTGCTTTGCCACATATGCACAGCCATGCAATTGTTCATACCAAAAAGGATGCAGGAAATCATTTGCTTCACAGGTGTCAGGCCTACCTTTAAACAAAGCTGGCGATGTTTTAGTTGTTCGATCTTTTTCTGACGATTTGGCTTTCTTGGAGCAGCGCTTGAGCCACTTTTTGACAGTCTGATACGTCAAATTTGATGGTAATTCTTCACTGACACCAATGACGTTATGATATTGATATGTGTCAAGTTCTGCACTTGCGCCAATAGATTCCGCTCTGTGTCAGCTTGAAATTGAGTGTGGCAGTACTGCTCTGGTGCCATCAATGCAGCCTCAGAGGCAATGAGTGGCTGTTCTTTTTTGGATGCAACTACTGTATGCTATGCCCTCAATGCTTATCTGTGTGTGCGCAGATGTTCCTCTGCTGGGCCACATTCCTACAAACCTGCCTGTCCCCATTGGACTGTCAATTCCCCCAGCCATGATTCCCCTCATAGCGAAGAACGCTGTGATTCTGGCTGTGCTGGGAGCCATTGACAGCCTGCTGACCTCCCTGGTGGCCGATGCGATCACCCACACATATCATGACTCTGACAAGGAGATGCTGGGACAGGTTCATGATAGCTTCCAACTGCTCAGTCTTTCTTCTGAATCTCCAGTCTTGCTGCTAGTTGGTGTTCCCTGAAGCCCAAACACAAACTGCAGCCAAAAACTGTAGTTTTCTAACAAGAAAAGTGGGCAACTAGTATATTTGTGAATGGCATTGTCCAAAATGCATGGCCTTGTGTGTTGCAGATGGCTGTGAAAACAGTCGCTGCATCGTGGTAGACAATGTTGCAATTCACCAAAAGTGAATCCAAAGTCTGAGTTGCAGGAATGCGTGGGTTCTGTGTCTTGCATTGTCTGCATTATACTGTGCATTGCAATGCTGCTGTGTGCATGTTGCATTGTCCAATATATGCTGCAGTGTTTGCGTTGTGTTGTGGCCTCATCGCTGTCAGTGTTTGTTCTGTGCCTGTACTTTCAACAGCCTATTGTGACTTCCTCAAGGCATATTTTCCAGATTATGTTGTTCAAATCCACCTGTTGCGGTGCCCGATGATGCAGACTACCATAGCTTCTTCCTTAGACTCTGATGTGATAGCGTGCAGACACCCTAATAGAGAGCCCTCACCAAAGCCCCTGCAAAATGGGCGAAGTTGAACCTGGCCGTCTGCATGCTTGTAATGCTTGGGAAGAAAAAGATTGCCTTCTATTGTCAAGATCAACATTCTGAGCAGACCCCACTCCAGCCCCAAACCCAAACCCACCCACTGCCAAATTCATGTTGTCTAGCTATTCGTGCTGCTTACGTTTTTTTTTGTGCATCAATTTTGGGAGACTGGGAGACTATGCACCATCTTTTCTGGGACACCTGGAGACTTTGCAGCATCTGTTCACAGTATCGAAAGGAGTCTCTCATGTCCTTATCAGGGGTGGCCTTGCATCACCCTTTTTTGAAGCGTAATACCCACCCACACCCACACACACCCTGAGAGGATGATTTCCTGCAAGCCTCATATTGCCTTACTGTAGAAGGTGGTGTTGACCGCTCCAGGTGCACCGGGCAGAGCATGCAGGGGGAAAATACACACAATGTCAGCAAGACAATTCATCACTTGTATGCATGGACGAGTAATGTGCAACAGCCACAAATGTGAAGAGGTGCTAACCAGTGCTGTGCGATGGTTCAGGGCCTTGGCAATGCAGTTGCTGGGCTCTTTGGTGGCATCGCCTCGGCTGGTGCCACGATGCGCACAGTTGTGAACGTCAGGGCGGGCGGCCGCACTCCCCTGTCTGGAGCCTTCCATGCCTGCGTGCTGCTTTGTGTGGTCATGGGCTTCGGCGGCGCTGCTGAAAAGATCCCCCTCTCAGTACTGGCAGGAATTCTCGTCAAGACGGGCCTGGACGTGATCGACTTCAACTTCATCAAGAAACTGCCAAGACTGCCATTGTCTGCCAGCCTTGTCATGGTGAGATGCTGCCCCCCTTGCTGAGTTGGATTCCTGGGATTCACTAAAATGTGCATATCCAGCTGTGACAAGCCCTTCAGAATTAGTGGATTCTGTCCTTTATTAGCATTGAGGCAATTTTGGGAGTCCAAAAGGCACAGGTGCCACCCTTCCCTTGCAGTGCAACTGGGCTGCGTGCAGAATGATGAGCCTAGGACATGGAATTGCATTGGTTAGAGCTTTCTGTGCCCGTCGTTGCCAACATGGTGCAAGTGTTGTGTTTGTTGCGGCTATTGTGCCTATTACTGGACTTCCACTCATACCGCTATTACCATGCATGGAATTTGCTTCATCGCTTGAAAGGGCACTGGCTTGTCAATGGTTGTGCAATTGGAATCCTCAAGAGATTCTGTACCCTTTATTACCTTGCAGGTGTCTTGTCTTCGTTGCTTTCTGGATGCATATGACCAAAGGATGAGTTGCTGTGTGCTGTTTTTTTGGATACACTGTCCCCAAAATGCACAGTTTGAAGTGCGCGACCAAGGTGTTCACAATCTGTTTGTAGGTAGAAAACAAATAGGGGCCAACACGTGTGCTTGTGAAGATGTGGGTGGCAAGTTAATGGCATTGGTCTTAATTTTTTCTGCCTGTTAGAAAACGTATTGTATCAGTGAACCCTTGGACAAAGGAGGATAGAGAAACATGAGGACACAAATCACAAGGATAAAAGAACGCAGGCGTAAAAAATCACAATGATAAAGAGCAAAAGGATAAAAGAATACAAGGATAAAGAACACCATTCAATATAACACACAAGATGAAAAGCACAAGATGCATGGAATGCCATTGAAATATATCTGGTGAGAATAACATATCAATAAACATTGTTAAAACATCGAATTACTTGTGTTTTTTGCAGTTTACAACATGTCTGGCAGATGTGCATGTGGTTAAAATAACTTTTGTGGCAATGAAAATACTGGAGAGGGATATGGACAGGGCTTGACTCATACTTTCTTTGTTGCAATATCTTTGGCTGCTTGTTCACTGCACCAGGGTGTTCACTGCGCTGATGTGACGGACACATACCAGTGCAGCATCACTCTGGTCATGGCACGTGTGTACTGAACGAAATATTTGGAGAGGTAATCGAAATAGAGAGATCCCCTGTCTGCTGCAGCTGATTGCTGTGTGTGTGTGTGTGCAAACTGGTACACAGATGACAACGCTCACTGTGACCGTCTTCTGGGACCTCATCGTGGCTGTTGCTGCTGGCTGCGTGGTCGCCTCGCTCATTCTTGTCAAGGAGCTGGCAGACACACAAATCAAGGACTGCCGCATTGTGAAGGCACAAGACCTTGAGAATGGCAACAACAGTATCGATCTGTCACTGAATGAGCGCAACATGGTGCTGTCCGCCAATGTAGGTCACTGGTTTGTATTGTTTCCAGTTGCCTTTGTTTCGAATGATGGATTGCTGTGCCTTTTTAGTTTACCTACGTAAATTTTTGCTTGACCTGGATGGACGATGACACCTACTGGTAGAATGACTTGATGTCAGCACTATCGATTCTCTTAAAGAAGTAGCCAAAGCTTGCCAGATGCAAATGTGGATAGTGGCTTGGGGACAGGTGCAACGGGCCAGGGTCAGGGCATGGGTACACGCAGAACATCGCACCAATAGATCAGCACAAAATTGTCAGCCAATGCCTTGCTGTGCTTTTGGTTGCTGAATGGAGGGATGAAGGCCGGAATGTGTCTCTAAGGTTTTGGCCTTTGCTAGCATTGAGAGTTGCTCCACATCACCTTTGGAGCGAATGGATAGCTGTCCTCCAGCACTCCATGCATGCCATGTGCTCTTCATTTTCCTGACATCTTCCTGACTGCAAGCCAGCCTCTCAGATTGAAGGCCACCTTGCACAATAGTTGAGCATGACAGGAAGCACTCAAATGTTTCTCCCCTCACTGCCTCACTTGTGAATTGTTGCTGGCAGCTTGTCAATTGTACCAAACAAAAGTGAATTGCTCGTGTCTTTGCACCTGTGAAAGCACATGTCTCATGAAGGAACCTTGGTGTTGGCGGCTTGCCCAACTTTCAGCCAAGTTTGACAGATGGGGGTGCACCGCTTGCCCAGGGGCGCGTGGCCGTCGTCCAAATGCACGGCTCCTTCACCTTCAGTGCTGCAAACGGCGTCCTGAGGAAGGTCCTTCCAGAGCTTGAGAACCTGGACGGTGCGGTGTTGGACCTCAGCGATGTTAACCTGATGGACGGCGACTCGGCCTTGGCCATTGAGGAGATGGTGAACAGGTGCGGGGCCCGATGGCATTACAAAGTTGACAGAGCTATATCCCTGCTTTTCCATCACTTTAGGTCGCAAAAGCAGGAACTCCTGGAAACAGCAAGGCAACTCACGTCGAACAGGGGAGCGTGCCCACTGACAGAGAGAGCTGGTGGGGCGGACAACAGCGTGCATGCAAAGTCTTTGATCGCGCTGGCCAAGACGGACACAGTGCTGGCCTCACACATACAGGGCGATGTTGGGAATGTCGCTGGCAGAGCATTGCTTATTTCGCGCTGTCCTAGGAAAACGGGAAGTGGGAGAGAGCACACCTAAAGTATTAAGTATAGAATTACTAAACAAGCCCATCTTCAAGAAACAGAACAGACCCCAGTCTACGCACCGTGTTAGACACTACCAGCTCGTTGAAATCGTATTCATTCTAGAATACCATAGTATGCTCCTTTCCCGAATTCACTCATGTTCTTTGTCGCGTTGTATGGGCCAGTGCACAGTGTATCAGCGTCGGCTAATACGATTCTGATTCGTTTAGGCACCTTGCGTTTGGACACTAAGTTCCCTCTTTCTTACTTTTGTATTGTGGTGCCTCGCCCCAGGGCCGGCGAGTACGACAAGCGCCTGCTCATCTCGGGCGCCTCTGGTGAGGTTGCCCCCCTCCTGGACAGGGTCGGCGTGACGGAAATGCTTCCGCTGCCGCCTTCATCTACCCGCGAGGAGGGCCTGACTGCCCTGCTGGCTGGCAACGGAAGGTAGCTTCATGGAAGGCGAGGCAGATGGGTGTGCGTGGTATGGAACTCCTGGTATGGGCTGCTGCCAGACACGGGGCGGATGAGGGACCCGAGTGGGCGCCTCGTGCATGCGACTCGTGCAGTCCTTCAGAACAAGACTGGGGCTGGCAGTGTCTTCGCTCGCGTTCGGGACCCCGGTTGGGATTGTTTTGCGCGTTTTTTTCGCTCCGTCGGGTGGGGACAAGGGGGCAATTGAACAAGCGATGGAAAGAATGAAGTTTCGAGCGTGCCTGTGGCGGAAGGGCGGGCGCGCTGGGGGAGGTGCGCCGGCGCGGATCCGCCACTTGACGCCGCGAGTGATGCTCGTTTGCCTTTGAGGACTCACGCTCTACCACACCGATGTACGGCGTCAGGCGGGCGCCACCGGCTGCAGGATTTGTATTCTTGAGGACTGCATGAGTAAGAGGTGATGACTGGCCCTGTGCTGTAAGCTTGATTTTGTTCTGCCGCTCCTGGGTTTGTGCCCGACGGATGTTGCTCTGCTCGCCTTCCCAATGTGCGCGGGCGACGATCGGGCTGGTCCCGCAGCGCCCGTTTCGTGTGTTGCCGTGGCCTGTGAATTTCTATCGTGACATCCCTGCGCTCCTCGATGTGGGCGCCGGGGTCAGCCTGGACTCGTGCCCCTTCACATCCACGCCGTTGCGTGCCATGCGCCAGTGTGTCTCAACAACCAAAAACATGAAGAGCCCACACGTCAAGGTGGAACCGGCGCCTAATCTACCATGGGCTGCGCTCAGGTGCGAGCTTCGTTGCTTCTCCACATTCGGGGGCCCCCGCAGGGCCTCGTCACAAGTTTGGCCATGGACAGGAAATACTTGGCGCCCACCCCATGCTATCGCTAATTCACAACATCTCAAGCGGGTTCGGTAGCAGCTGTGGCCGCCATTAGAGGCGTGTTTTCGATCACAAAATTGGGCCTGGACGTGCCCCTCGCACACTGGTTGGTACGCTACATTGATCGATGCCGTGACATCATGTCGGTGCATCCATACAAGGAAGAAACAAACAACATCTCAAGCAGCAGGGACGTAGAAGGACAAGGAAAGCGATGGCCGCCTTGGATCCCCTGTCGATGGCCTCCACGCCCCGAGATGAAGGAGGCCCTCAAAGCCACCACATTCACGTGGCCGGCGCAGAGCGAACCTTTGCCGATTTCCCATGAGTGTTACACTCCCAGGTCCCGTGTTTCCGTGCCCCCTTCCTCGCACATGTGCCGCATCAAACACAGCCACATGCGCCTTGGCCTGCGACCGCACACACCTTCCCACGCAGCTCCCGCGCCGCGAGGTGGAAACCACCCCATTGACAAGTCACATTCGACAACACGGCAGCGCCGCATGCCTTGCCCACACTGTGTCGCAAATAGTACATTCCCGCCTCTTCCGCTGCGCCAATCCCCGGCCATCACTCAAAACAAATCTGCCCTGCCATCCCTGGCGCCAAATCCGCCCGCCTCCAATCTCCCCTCCCACCCCGCCCCACATCCCCCACCCCGTCCTCCCTCGCCCCTCCTCCACCCAGCTGTTTGAAAAGCGACACTTCAAGGGCTTCTTTTCAAAGGTGACTTTTAAAAAGCGACTATTGAAAAGCGACTTTCAGCAGCTTATTGAAAATTCGCCTAAGGCGACTTTTCTCACAGCGTGCGCGCCGTGTGCCCCGCCCTGTGGGGCTCGCCGCACCACCAGGGGCACAGCAGGCCGCAGCCCAGGCTCCAGGCGCAGGCCCTGCGGCCACGGCGCGGCCAGCCGACGGGCCGCCCGTAGTCGCGACCGGTCAGGCCCCCGTGCCGCCGCCGTCGGCGGCGGCAGCCGCAGCCCAGCAACAGCGTGGCGGAGCAGTTGCAGGCGGTGCCCGGCGGGCCCGGCATGTTTCGCGCCAGGAGGGGAACCGGCTCTGGTGTAGGGACGGCTTGGCGGGGAGAGCGCCGAAATTGCGGGCGGCTTGGCGCCGGGAAGCGGGTGTGTGGATCGTGCACGCGGATGTTTTAACACTCTTTGGAAAATGTGCTACAAGGCTCCGTGCTTCCTACAGTACTTGCGTGTACAACATTTTACTGAAATTTGTGTATGTGTGCGTGTGTGCGTGTGTGTGTGTGCGGTTGCATGCGAGCTGTGCCCGTTATTAGTCAGATTGTCGTCTAGCATCATCGTGGTTGTGTGCGGCCGTGACTGCTCGCGTTCCTGGGCAAACGCTTGTTTCAATGCTCTGTCATCGACAATCTCTTTGGGGAGTTACTGGTGGTTGGTGAGTTGCGCATTTCGCTCCCTTTGGTTCCAATGAACAAGTCACGGACACTGCCATGCTTGGGCAGAATGGATAGAAAAAACTGACGGCTGCCGACGTTGACAAATCTGTGCATCGCGATGTTGGCAACGGCTTACGAGACGGCGCCATTGTGCGAGAAGCACATGCCCAAAGGCGATGGAGCAAATCTGGTTGCAGGAGCACCAAGGGGGATTCTTGCATTCCAGAAACTGCCTAACAAAGCTTCCCAAAAGTCGCCATGAAGAGCAGAGCTCTAATCTATATATATATTTCAGAAGCCGCCATTTCAGAATTCAACACTTAAATTGACACATAACGGAAGCGACGGAAGCAGGCCTGCAGTAAGGACACACCGTGGTCTCGACCCCTTTGGGAGTGAATTGCGCCAATACAGCAACTCCGCGACCATGGGACCAGGAAACTGGGCGCTTATGTCATAATCGTGTCATGCCGACAAAGGGATACGACGAGAACCCTAAGGACAAAGGCGGGGGGAAGAAGGATGGAGCGCGAGCCGGCCAAGCCGATCAGAAAGGGACAGGGCGCTGCACTCCATTCCATGAGAGAGCGCAGGATCGCGTCGATTGGCCTCGAGGCGGGTCTCTTTCTCAGTCCAGGCGAGCAGCCCAACCAGGTCAGCAGTCGGACTGCAGGCAGAAGATATGGACGAGCACGAGTAATTGGGGACAAGGGACATCCCCCCACGTTCCCAGCGGATCCCCAGGGTCCCCCACTCACCCCCTCACCTCCCCTGGATTCGTAACGGCAAGCAGATGCGTGCCCAACGCACAGCAAAGCGGTAAGAGTTTGGGGGGGGAGGGGGCGGGGGGCGGGGTGGCCAGCTGCCTCGGGACCGAGCCAACAGAAAGCAGTCCTGGGAATCGGAGAAGGGACCCAAGGGCGTTTGTGCACAACCAGCAAGAGGGGCCCCCCGCCCGAGCAAACCACGTGCCCAACCAAAATCTACAAGCTACAACAGTCTTGAATGGAGTCCCAGACACAACAGTGCACGCCCCCGGCCCTCTGGACCGGCCCCTGGAGCGGCCCACCTCCCACGCCATCCGCCACGCCGCCTTCCGCCCACCGCGCAGGCCCAAGGCGCGCGCCTTTCTTTCTTCGGCCCTGCCCCCTAGAGCCGGGCCGCGGGGCGTCCATCGCTCCTCTTGCCAACTTGCTGCCGACCGCCGCGCGGCCCACCGCGCAACGAACCACCGCGGCAGTCGTTTGAATAAACAATCCTCCGAGCCAAAGGGGCGGCCCCAGCCATGCCGCCGTCTCAAGGGCCGCCCGCGCCCCATCCCCCGCCCCCCAGCGCCCGCGCCAGAGCCCATCACCGGGACGCCTTGAATTCCGGGAACAGGCCGAACGCGGATATCCAGGCCTGGGGGTCCACGATGGTGAAGGCGATCCGCACCTGCGCCCGCTGGTCGTTCATCCCCTCCAGCACCAGGTACCGCCCCGCCTTGCCGAACACCGACCCCGAGCTCAGGTTAACGCCCTTTTCCTTGAAGCTGTACGGCTCCTCGCACTTGCGTATGTCGCCCAGCATCATCGTGAACAGGATGTCGCCCGCGTCGCCGCCCTTCCAGTTGCGTACCCGGACCAGCCCCTTGCCTTCCTGTGTCGCCAGCTCCAGCCGGTCGCCCTTGGTCAGCTTCTGCGGTGGCATGCCCTCCCACATTATCACCCCCGCCTTGATCTTCTCCGTCTTGGCGGCGTCCGACACGCGTGGCGCGCCACCCCCCCCGTACTTCTTCATCGACTTGGAGCCGAAGGACGGCCGTCGGTCACCCATGGCTGCTCCCGGACCGCGCCCTGGCCGCCGCGATTCGCAAAAATTCAACCCCTCTGCTCGGCCCCCTGTGTGTGTGTGTGTCTGTGTGTGTGAGCCCTGGGGTGGGGGAGTGGGGGGTGGGCAACGGAGGGGCCCCTCGGTGTGTTCCGGGGAGTGCGGCAGGTGAGGGAGAGGGCGGAAAGGCGGTGGTGGGGTGCTGAAGTTGTGGGCTCAAGATGCGCCGGCGGCGCGCGGTGCAGGGACGGCCACGGGGGCGCCCATCAAAGAGGTTGGCCCGGCCCGGCCGTGACTGATCGTCCCCGGGCGCCTGAGCGCCGCCAGCACGGGCGACGTCGATGACGTCACGTGGGCGGTACGGGGGGACGAGTGCGGGGGGAGCGGGGTGATGGTGGGGGCCGCGTGCCCGTCATGGATATCTTGGTCAGTTTTGAGAGGGGTTGGTGGAGGTCGGCCGGCGACCCCGGCGCTCGTGCAGTGTGTGTATTGGTGTGTCTCCTCGCAGCAGCAGGGGGTTGTTAGGTGTGCGTGTTGTGAGGGGAATTGTGAGGGGAAGGGTGTTCATTTAATGCCCGCAGCGTGGGGCACGTTGTGGAGCGTCTTGGGATTGTGTATCGGTCCGTCTTGCCATTTTATTTTGCCATGAAGATCATTAAGGACATGAGGGTGTGAAGTCACGATGGTCATGACGTCATGACGTCGTGAAGACGTCATGTAGTGAAGTCAAGAAGGTCTCAAGGTCATTTTCGGGTTTATGGTGCTTTTCAACTTTGATGTTCACAGTACCCTTTTATGACCTTCACACCCGGTGACAATGGGTACTGGACAGCACTCTTTTGTGCGGGTTGCACGCCGGTTCCTGTTGTTGTGGTCTTCGGGGCACCGCGTTGGAGGAGTCGTGCATCACGCGTATTTTGGAATGGGGGCAATTGGGCGTGCGTGTGATCAACACCCTTGCAGAACGAGGCGTTGCAAGCAAGTATCATACAGTGCCCAACTTCGTGCCAGTGTTTCTCAAACACCATTGGCGGGTTTTGACGTCTTTGGGCTTGTTGACGGCTGGGTGTAGGTGGGTCGAGCTGTGCGAAATGCGGCGACGGGGAGCGCCGCTCCGCCCCTCCGGCCACCGAAGCCCCCTCGGACGGTCGGGCGGGCGCGTTGGACGTGGGTGAGTGCCAGGTGCGGATGTGAAGCACCTGCCGAATGACTGTTCGCGAGATCTGCAGCAGGCTGTGGATGGATAGCATTGCGAGAAAGCGCGGTGGTCGGCGACGACTTTGAGTAGCCCCTCCCCCGCACGGGCACTGCACAGGAGATTGCATGCCGTCAGAATTCTGAACATATCGAAGATCCAGGACAAGCCCACAGTCCAGAGATCAGATTCGCATCCGCGCAAATCGGAATAATTCACACAAGGCACACAGCTGACAATGTTGAAGTCGATGCGCTGCTCGATATGCTCGATTTGAGATGGGTACCCCATGGACCAGGGACATTGTTGATTATGCCAGGGTGGCAGCAGCGTGTGCAAATCGCTCAATGCTGCGCCACCAGTGTTCTTGCCCAGGATTCAGGGACCGGTTCATAGATTCAGCGACAGCCAACAGGCATGACAAGATCACAAATACTGTCCTGGGCTGTGCAGACCATTTTGCTATGTTCTAATGAAGCAATAACAAAGCCAAATTTTGCGATGTTGATGCTGGAGGCTGTTGTCTTCTGGAACGCCACCATCTTGCTCCACATATCTCACAGAACAGGCTTATGATCAAGTACATGTTCAACTGCACGTGTTGTTGAAGCCAGAATGTATGAACTAAATCAATCAAGAAATTTTGTCCATCAAAACCTGTGTTGCAATGATCATTGTTGGTACAGGAAGTACAACAGAACAGCAACAAGCGATCCAGGATTCTGTTATCATTGTCCATGGGTATTCCACGGTTCGCTAGTCCAAAACCCCTTCCACTGAAAGGAAATTCACAGATCCAGAATGAGAGAAGGGATGCCCCATTTTCGCAGCAGGTGGTTGCTCAAATGATCTTACAATTATTACTGATTCAAGTCTAATACTGGATTGAGCATCACAGTGAGGCAGTCTCCTGAAATTGTCCTGTCTAAGCCTGCCATGCTACGCTCCAAGGTTGGAAGGGAAACGCGAGCTAGTTTTTCTGCATCAACGCAACTGTTGCGATACTTCAGCTGCCAAACATCGCCAAACAGAAAGATGGCTTTGATTGCTGTTTTAGCAAATTCAGTGAAACAGGAATTGATCAAACTTTGCCGAAATGCCACTGGCGCCAGTGCTGCATCTTTGTTGACATGAAAAGGACGCCAAGTGTGGATTGAATGAGAAAAATGGGAACAAACACCGGCAATCCGAAGTGCCATTAAACGACTTGGGTCTGCAAAAGCTAGCATTCTTGTCTACGGGATCTTGATGAATGTTTGTTTCACCAGTTTCTATCTCATTCTCCAGCAATGGAACAGAAAGACGTATGGTCAGGGAGGCACAAGCGACCTGCCCATCCACAATCCTTTCCCGTCCATTTGAGCTGTCCTCATTATCTTCCACAGTATGGCAAGGGTCAACAAATCGCTATTCCAAGAAAAAGGGGTTCAAGCGCACAACCTGTTTCCGCAACTTGTGGCGTGGGACTTGGGGTGTTCATTTGACAAGAATTGTGAGGTCCTTGTCGACCGCTGGCAAATTGCCGCCGCCCGATCATCCGAGTTTATTAAAGCGACGTGCCAAGACCAGTGCGTTCTTTTCCAGCTTGCGCGTGAATACACAATTACACTTCGCTGGCGCCATGGCACCTGAACATTCGGCAGCCGTGGCAATGAACTTTCTGCTAGGTTGTTGGTGCAACAGATGATCAGGATTAGATGTTCAGGACGCCTCGCACTCCGCCCCTGGACGCCCACGGCTGTTGGAGCGGTGGAGCAGCGGTCCTGCAGAAAACGCATCGTCGCACGTCGCACGCCCATCCGCACTATCGCACAACAACGGCCCTGTCCACGGCGGCTCAACGTTAATGGACGCGCTCAAAGATCTGCAGCCGCGGCACGGGGCCACAATACTGTTCGCACCCCGATCCCGTTCAATCACGGCCCACATTTTGCGATCTATGCGAAGATCCAGCAGGACGCGACGCAGCCACGCAGCAGTCTGTGCTCCAGCGCGAGCCGCAAAAGCAGAAGCAACAGCAACGGCGGTCAGAGCGCCGGGCCCACACCCTGCCGCACCCTCTCGCCGACCCAATCCTCAGCACACCGTTCGTTCATTGGGGCCCATCGCGGGGCCGTCCGCCCCAGAGCGGCCACAGCGCTCGCCTGGACCACCTCCAAAAGCCCGTCCGGGGTCCAGGGGGCGGCAACCCTCGACCGTGACTTGGCCGCCGGGCGAAGGGACGCCCACGGCCTCCTCCTGGACCCAATGATTGCATAAGGGAGCGAGGAGAGTTTGCCCCGCCCTTCACCCCTTGACAACAGAGTATCAATCAGCCTCCGCGGATGAAGTGCCTCTGGACCGGCTCCGTCCGTGCCCAATAACCGACCCACCGCCCCCACTGACGTCATGGCGAGCGGCCATCGCCCGCCGCAAACCTGACTACAGTTTGCCAGGCGCCTTGACTATCCAGCCAACCCCCTGTGTCGCTTGCCGTGAACGAGGCGCAAGACTTCCGCGTTGTGCACTCCCAGCCCACCCTTTCCCCACCCGCCGTAAAGATGGACGTCTCCAGAGCGCTCTCCACCCTGCAGGGGTCAGTGGACCGCGCCACGGCCTCGCGTGCGGGCGTGGTCGGCATGGTGGGCACCGGCGCGCTGCTCTGCTACGGCGTGTACCTCGTGCTGGCGCCGGGAGGCAAGGGGCGGCCGTCATCCCTCCGGCTGCGCGGCGGGGGGATCAGCCAAAAGAGCGGCGAGGCGGGCGCCGTGCAGGAGGCCTTCGACGGCTACTCCGCGTCATACGGCAAGGACAGTGGCAAGGAGGCGCGCACGGCGCCGGGGACGCCCGACCTGGTGGCGACGTTCTACGACATGGTGACGGACTTCTACGAGTGGGGTTGGGGCCTGAGCTTCCACTTCTCGCCGCTGCTGCCGGGGCGAGGCAACCAGACCAGCGACGTGGCGCACGAGGTGAGGATCGCGGCCATGCTGCGGCTGAAGCCGGGGATGAGGTGCCTGGACGCGGGCTGCGGCGTGGGGGGCCCCATGAGGATGATCGCCACGTTCAGCGGTGCGGAGGTGGTGGGCGTGACCATCAACGAGTACCAGGTCCAGAGGGCGAACTACCACAACGCCAAGGTGAGCCGGGGCGCCGCTGCGCCGCTGGGCGCCGCCCAAGGGGTAAGATTTGTTACTAAGAACGAAACCAGGGGGCACAGAGGGCACCCCCTCAGGAGCAAGTGCATGCGAGGCTCTTTTCCCCGCTGTGAAAAGAGGATATGGCCGAAAGGGGTGGAGCCTGTCCATCGCTTTTTCCCTTTGGGAGACGAAAGGCAGCCCTTGCGCCTTGCGGGCGGCGACAGGCGCGCACGCATCTGCTCATCCGAGGCGTTGGTCTGTCCCTGGCAAGGGAACCGAATGGCATTATGTCGCCCGTGTTGTGGTTTCCTGGAGTAGGAGAGTTTCCCTGTGCCAATGTCGTTTTTGCAGTGCGAAAGAGGACTGCGAAGACAGCAATTTGGAATCCCCAAACTGAAACATGCCGGGCTTCCTGTAAATTAGTTTGCATCAACCTCCCTGGGACCTGCTGTGTGCGGGGACACGCAAACAGTTAGGCATACCATCAGGATAGTGTGCATGGAGTTCGTGACGCAGGGGCCTGCGTTCTGCGCTCGACACTGCAGCCCACGTTTCTTAGACTGTAGCCACCACCTGCATTCAGCACTGTGTGAAGGGCACGCTTGTTTGCGATGGAAACACCTGGTGAATCGTTCTGGTGTCGAAATGGCATTGCTGAAAGTGTTGATGTCCATCTGCTCTACTCTCTGCCCCGTGCTTTTCATATCGCACTCAGGAGAGCTGTGCATCATTTTCCATGGTGTGGAACAGAATATCACTTGCTCAGTGTTTTCGTTAAGGGGGTGCCATCTGCATGAAGTCCATTTCCTTTTCAGTTCAGCAGTTGTGGTTGGCCTGTAGCTGGGTATTTGCCTTCCCTTGTTTCTCATCAGTCGCCTGATCATATTGTTGCTACTGCAGATGGGCCTGAGCGAAATCTGCCGGGCTGAGCAGGGCAACTTTCTTGACCTCAAGCAAGATGACAACAGCTTCGACGCTGCCTATGCTGTTGAAGCGACATGCCACGCCCCCAAGGTGATGTGCCATGCCTTTACATCAACATTGGCCGCTGTTGTGACATGGGAATTCTGGGCCACACGTACATCAACATATGAATGGCAACACAGAGGTGTTTTTGTGAAGCACACGATTGTGTACTGGTCACCAAGAAATTATGTGGCTGTTACAGCAACCGACAGGGACATGTTGCCTCCCTGTTGCATTGTCTACTGCTACCACTGTTCCAAAAATAACGTCGCATCTTGAATTCTTGCTGTAACTTGCAAGTTCAACTCATTCAATCAATGCATCACCAGATTCGGAATCCTTGGTTGATTTTGGGCCACTGTGGATCTTGGTTGCATTAGTCATCGCCATACAGCAAGAAAATCACAGCCCCATCAACAGTGCTCCTGCCCATCTCCGTCAGAAGCTCAATGCCCCATAGTTTTGTGCTCACTTTATCCCCATGTGTGCCGACCTGCTTCCTCGATATGATTCAGGAACCTTGTTGTCATTAGTGCATAGGCACTATTATAACCTTTCAAGAGCATTGGCATCAATACAATCATGCTATTTGTGGACCATCTCATCCACTGTTCTGAATCGTGTCTAAAAAATTCTCAATTGCTACGATTGGCCATATTGGCACCAATCCAGGCCGTTTTGGGGATAGCGTCAGCATGCACGGCCTTCATATGCATGGTGTGTTAGACAGCTCAAGCTCTTGCACTCATCTAGGTGTCTCTTGGTCTTTGGTCACATCATACCCACAATTCTTGTGGACAGCCAAAAAAGCTGCAGCAACCCAGCATCGTTGGCTTTGCGGATTCTGCATCGAGGTTAGCTGAATCTTCAGCATATACCAAGCCATACAACCAAGCCATACACCTTTCCTAGAGACAGCGCAGCTCGTTCCAACCTCTTTGAATGGTGAGACGAGCTCCTCCCAAGGTCCCCACAACATGAAAAGTGGGGTTTCAGCTCTTCTTAATAGATCGCGAGAATGGCAGTGCCGTTTGCCACATTTAAGGGCTCTATGGTAAGCCCTTGATATGGTGCATCAAAGTTATGTCGGTCAGTTTTTCTGACGCTTTTGGACCCCATTTGCACAAATGACAGATTCGACACGATTTTTGGAACAGAGGTAGTATTGTCTAGTATTAGGAGCTGAATGTTATTTGTACATTTTCTTAGTTGCAGATCGTCTGCATTTGTCTGCTCCCTTTCCATTTTCTGCTTCAATCAGCCTGCTTCTCTTGCAGTGATCTTGTCCCAGTGAAGGACTGCCCTCCTTGATGTATCGGCCATTGCCGTGAGGTCCTTGCGGACCATTCTTTAACGATGCTGGGTAATGATTCTGTCTGGCAGAGACACGAGACATGGCCACTGTGTTAACACAGGTTGCTGAAGGGAACTTGTATATGTGTTCCAGCCTTGCAAATCAGTATTTCCTCTTGCCTGTGTGCAACTTTTACTATTGTTGCTTCATCAACATAAACAACTGTTAAGCCTTGCAGGATATAGATGTCACAGCATGGTGAACATGTTTTATCTGGTTGGAGCAACAAATGTCACAGTCAGTTTTCTTCTTGTGATCACTTGGAAAACAGAATTTTCCCCAGCATTTGTGTAACAAGGAATGCACAGTGCGGTGATCAGAACTGGACTGCTACTGGGCACTTGAGTTTGGATGTTTCTGTTGGTACCTGGCACTGTGCATTTTGCTAGTAAGCACTGTATCAAGGTGATCATGGTCACAGCAGCCATCATTGATGCGACAGGGAGGCCCAAGACAGCCTGTCATGTCCTAGTGCGGTGGTGGCACAATACTATGCCCATGTGTTGTTACAATTGCCCATTCAGCTGCAGGTACAGGTATCTGCAGCCATTTCTACGCATGAAAGCAAGCACAGGAGGCGAGTGCCCATGATGGGGATCACATCTGCTACATTGACTCAGTGCCACAGGCTTCAATACTTTGCACCACTGCAAATGTGTCTTGAAAGATGGCTCACCAGGAGGCTTTCATGTTCACCCTCTTTCTCTGTGCATCTGTGGCAGGTTGAAGAGGCTTACAGTGAAATCTTCAGGGTGTTGAAGCCTGGCAGTCTCTTTCTGACATATGAATGGGTTGCAACACCAAAGTTTGACCCTAAGAATGAGGAACACGTTCGTGTTATTGACAACATTGTGTATGGGAATGGCCTTCCGGTGGGTACAACTCCTGTGCGGACATCTATCTGGACATTATTCCATCCATTTCGGTCTTCCGTTATTGATTGTCCCACTTTTGCCACCCTTAATACACCTGAAGATGTTTTGGACCATCTTTGTACTGTGCAGGACTGTTGTTGAGCAATTTGCGCTGGAGAGTATTCCTTTGGTTGTTTGTTGTGTATGTTAATCGTTGGGCACTCGTGCATTGCTGTGTACCTTCAGTGTCTGTGCATGCAGTGATGTCCTATTCAGACAATGTGAAGGTGAATTGTTGATTTCAGCACACTCTTCTATTGTGGGAAAGGACTGCTGTGTGAGCAAGACTGACTTGGGTTCTGGAGAGGAATGCTGCTAGGCAACAATTGTTGTCAGTTGTTTCCATGCTTGCAGTGCACATTAGTTCCCATATGGCAGACTAGTGGGTGTCAGCTATGCTCAGAAATAGTTTCAGGAGAATGGGTTGAGATGTGGTCATGGTGTCTATGTCTGCTGCAGAGATTGAACAACACATGTCTTGCTCAGACAGGAAGCACATGGTTAATCCAGGTCATGGTGGGATAATGAAAATGTGCCCCGTCAGTGCTGCTGCACCTACAAGGCAGTGCTTGGCAGTGCTGTCTGACATCTGCGGTTTTCGATCCCCTTTATTCCAAAATGCATATAACGTTTATTCAGAAGTACCAGAGCAGATTTACAGGACGCTTTTCTGTACGCATGTGTGTGCGTATCTTGTTCTCCTTTGCCACCAAACACACACTTTTGTCCTGTTGGAATGCGGTCTCTTTTTGAACACTTGCTCTGAGGAGGGGCGTATTGCATGCACCTGCCAGGCGATGAGGACGGCAGCTGACTGCATCAAGGCGGCAAAGTCCGTTGGGTTCGAACTCATTGAGGACCTTGACCTTGCGAACTGCTCTCCAGTGGTGAAGCCCTGGTAATCCACCCACGCAAGGCTTGAGCCAGTCTGTGTCTATTGCATTGGGGCTGATCCCCATGGGTTTGTATTTGCCAAGGAGCCCTTTGTTGGTGCATGACTGGCTTTGGGAGCAAATGTGTCGATGTTCACAACTGCACCTTTCTTTTTTAGGGAAGAGTTTGTTGGCAAGCCAGATAAGGGCGAAAGGGGCAGGCGAACAGTTGTCTGCTGCATGTGAGCTAAAATGCACGTAGCGAGAGATGGATTCAATGTTGAGGGAGGGATAGCAGGGACATCCAAGAGAATATAAGAGATTTTCATAATCGAAAGGACAGTATGTTAGTGCCAGTGGATGGCTGTTACTGGCGCTGTAGCTGTATATGAAACCAGTTCTTCTAACCCCAAATGTCGCGGCGTTGAGTGTGCTCAAGTGCTTGTATGTGTTGCCTTTCCATCTTTGCACTGCCTGATTGTGCTTTACGAGAGGTGCAAAGGCGTGCAGGAAGGTATACGTATTGAGCAGAATGGTGATGTGATATGACACACCATTGAAAGACTGCGAGCGCATTCAATGAGCGTAGTTGCACCCTCGTTTTGCTCTGCTGGCGGAAGCTCGCTGTGGCACAGCTGCCAGAATTGTCCTTGTTTGAAATTTCGTCTTTTGTTTCAATAGGTACCTCAAATTGCAAAGGATCTTGAGCACCATAGGGATCAACAAGGCCCTTGTTAACTTCCTGCAGGCGTTCTGGCTGGTTCCCAAGGTGAGTGGACAGTTGTCGGAGCGAAAGTTCTATTTCCTTTCCTGTGCTGTGACACTTCGCATTTATGTGTTTCTGCTCGTTTTCTGCAGTGTTGCAACACGTTTACAATCCTTGCCACCACGTATATGTGCCTTGTGCCACCTCACAAGGAAGGGCAAGCAGTGTGTAGCCGAACGTACTTGCCATTTTTTGTTAGATTTTTGTGGGTACCAACCTGCTATGCGTCCTTTCTTCTTGCCGTGACAGTAAATCTCGTATACTACGTAGTAGTATTTCCACTCGTAGTAGATGTTTTCAAATGAAGCTGGTAAGAAAGTGTGCTCGTTGCCTTGAGTTTCAGCGACCAAATGGGATCAGTGTCGCCCACCAGCTGCTGTGTGAGTTTGCCAGATAATCCCGCAGCCTCTGTTGTGCGTTTACAACCTGAGTGCGACACCTAGTCGTCGATGTGGAACCGGAATCTGGTTCACACTTTTTTATCACATTTCTGTCGCTGATGACGCAGGGATCGCCAACAAATAGCAGAAACATGGCAGTAGCAAAGAACGAATAGCAAAACTGGAAGCATGCCAACAACAGAAACTGGCACATTCGTATGGCCCTGCAGCACTGTGCTGCAAGCTCTGAGCTCCCGTGGTGACGCCACAGCAGTGAAGCATCCTCTTGGGCGGTTCGGACACAATATGAGCTGTTGAGCGCCCAGTCTGGTGCACACTCCCCCCGAGAGTGTGGCGAGGTTGCATATTACTCCAAGCTTGCGGACATTCGCACAACCGCCTAATTCCAAACTTGCATTCGCCATTTTCCATGCCAGACCGCGTGTCCAGCATACACCTGTTTGTCCAATTCGGCGCTGTGTGCGCACGTGTGGGGCGCCCATTCTGCGGTCTGCTGCTGTTCAGGGAGTGAGGGACGTGCACGAGATGCTGTGCTCAACGGCCGTGAGTCTGGTGGAGGGCGGCAGGACCGGCTACTTCTCACCCATGCACATGATTGTTCTGAAGAAGCCCGAGAATGCCGTGAATCCTGTGAAGAAGGCCACTGCCTGAAGAGGAAAGCCTGTCAGATGCTGTCGTTGGACCGCCTTCGGTGGTCCGGCTGGTGTGGGTCAATTTCGCGGATCAGCTGCCGTGGGGATCGGCGTCTGTCGGTGAATTTCCGTGGCCAGTTGCATCTCAAGTTTGGGGAACGCATATGCCATTGGGCGCCAGCTGCAAGTGGGGCGAAGGTGGGTCGCTTGGCCTTCGACTCTCATGACAACGCTGCAAGTTGGGGCCTGGCGGGCCCAGGGCGGGACTCGGGTCGGTGTGACTATTAATGCGATCGCCGTATTATTGCTGTATTCGTGGGTAGTTGCGTTTGTTTCTCGGATACCTGTGGGTGGCGCGGGGCGGTAGCATTGAGTGAGAGAATCCTGGAATAGCCCATGGCATGGGGAATTGATTGGAAGCGGGGAGCAGATGATTGCCGCAGCAATTTGACAGAGTCAAGTGGGCTGGTGCGACTGCGGCTTCTAGTTTGGGGAAAGGAAAGACTCCGAGCATATCTTTATGGTCATGCTGCTGCAGAGGGGTCTCAAAGTGCATGCGGACCTGATCTGCAAGGTTTCGGAGCGCCTTGTGGCTGGAATTGGTAATTGCCGTTCGTGGACTCGTGCCATTGGCAATTGGCTGCAGGGATGGGGATGGCGGGGGTCACCAGTGTCGCACCGCTTGTGGCGAAGGGGTGCGCGCATAAGAGCATATTTATCGGTGGGTGCTATTGTCCCGGCGGAGCTATTCGGCTATCTGAATAGCACCGCACGTCAAAAAACTATCATTAACGCTTGGGGAGCAATAGCACCCCAATAGCACCCCCGGAGCTATTCGGTGCCGAACGGCACTATTTTGGCCCCGAATAGCACCGTTCGGGGCCGAATAACACCCCAGAATAGCACCGGTGCTATTCGCACAGAGCATTGTAGTGCTGTTGTGATGCTATTCGGCGTAGGCATAGCACCCACCATTGTGGATGCGTGCAGGGGAGCAATAGCACCTGTGCTATTCGGCAAATGCCGCCTTAGGAAGGTAGCCCGGCAGCCAATGAGAACCGTTCCTGGAACGGTGGAACGGTGGAACTGGTGGTGCCCCGCCGGTGCAATAGCACCCACCGATAAAGATGCTCTGAATAGCTGCGGGGGTGCTGCTGGGGTGCTATTGCTCCCCATCCGTTAATGATGGTTTGTTGACGTGCAGTGCTGTTCAGATAGCCGAATAGCTCCGCCGCGAACATAGCATCCACCGATAAAGATGTTCTAAGTGCATTTCGCTGTATTGCCCAATAATAAAAACCTCCACCAGAAGATAATTGCATCTTGTTTCCTTGTGGAGGCCAATAATTATCTTATAAGATCATGGCTAGCAGCATCGAATGAAGCGTTACATGATGGAGCAAAATGGACACAAGTAGCCCTGCATCGCATTTCTTGCGAATGGCCCAGCCATTGACCTTGCGTTGGGGCACCTATACTAGAGGAAAGGAGTCCAACAAGGTGAAAGGAAAGGAGAAGGGATGTGTGTGGAAGACACAGAAACCGAAATGTTGGCTCAACTGTCGGAATTTTGTGTCCTCCATCCCCATGGTACATCGGTGATATCATTTGGCTGCTTGTGCCACACTGTCTTGATGGGTTGCACAAAAGTTGCCAGGTGTTACAAACTCATATGGGCCGCCCCCCTCAGCTCCCATGGCATGTTATCCCCAAGATCTTGTGTCAGGCCCTCCCTACAGTGCTGCCCATCTCTCACGGCACAGACAAGCTGCCAAGATGTGGATGTCGATCTTCAACGTTCGCCCTTGTAAAGGTCTGCACCACGCACCACCAGTCATTGCCTGGCGGAATAGGAAATCGCCAGTGGAAGTGATCCACCAAAAACCGCGCAAAGATCGATGTTGTGCTGCTTGAGAATGTGCAGCTCCATGATGCTGACGTGTGCAGAAAGCGCCCCATTGCGCAAAAAATGACGGCGCAGATGTTGACAATTAGGAACAACATGGAAATGTTCGTGTTTAAGCACGTTTTCGTGTTTCAACGTTTCCGCCGGGCCGGGCTCCTTGTCCCGCCCAGGTCCACACACACACTGGACCAATACATTACAAAGACATTGTTTTTCCCAATACAACCCGAGGTACCCACAACTTGTGTGCCCAATCGCTTCGCTAGTAGTTAAGCCAGTCCCATACCAGACTCAACCCTTGAGTCAGACCCACCACGCCTCATTCCATCGTGCTTAACTCCCACACTTGCCTCAAATCAACCGAGCATCACCCTAATAGGGGGGGCCGGGCGGGAAGCGAAACAAGATAAGGTGGGGACCGAGGGGTGAGCCTAAGTAGCCTCCCCGCTCGCGCCCGCCAAAGCCCGCCGCTCCCAAGGGCGCCAAAAACCACTGGCTCTCCTTGAACGCGCCGAACTGGCCACTGACCCAAGGTACAGGGGGACAGAGACCCCAAGGGGCCGTCAAAACCGGTGTACTGAAGCAGCGCTGGCCCGACTGGGCCAGCGCACCCGCCCCTCGTCGCCCTGGGCGGAAACCCCTTAACAAGATAATTAATCCCATTTCCGCCGGGCCGGGCTCCTTGTCCCGCCCAGGTCCACACACACACTGGACCAATACATTACAAAGACATTGTTTTTCCCAATACAACCTGAGGTACCCACAACTTGTGTGCCCAGTCACCCTCGGACACACGAAGCTCCTCCGGAGCAGAAGATGTGGCCATACCTCTCATGCAAGTCTCGGGCGGTAATCGTCATCCACCCGAAGAAACGGTAATCCCATTCCGATGGGAGTCAATACACATTGATGTACCGCCACATGGCAGCGCTACGCCAGTCGCCCCAGTGGCGGATGCGCTGCTCAGGCACCTCCAAGGCGAAGCAGGCCGATGCTCCACCCGCGCGAAGGCCGTGGTGATCAAAGGCGCCGGGGTGCAGATCCGGCGAGGAAGCCAAGAGGTCCCTGAACCAGGTCGAAACCGTGCGGGCGGACGGGTCCCGCTCACCGGGGAGGGTGAAGAAATGCGTCGGGGTGCCACCCGCATCCGCCCAAGCGCGGTCCTGAAAGGCGCTCCAGCGAAGGATGAGATCCACCAGCTCGGGGGCCCCCCGGGACGGCCAGGAGCGTAGGCGGATGGCGGGGTCCGTGTCGCGTTTCAGCTTGGTCTTGCATTCCCGGAAGACAACGACGCCGTCCGCCACCCGCACGTCCGGTAGCATAATGAAATGGCCACTCTGGGCCCGGTTGAAGAAAACGAAATCGAGGAGGGCGGAGACCGACGCCCGCAACAACTGCAGGTCCTCCGTCCCCAGGCCGCGCTCCAGGATGCGCAGCATTAAGGTAGCCGGCACCGGCGCATGGGAGGAGGCCGGCTCCGGGCATTGACGACGCCAAGACCGGGTGAGCAAACGGGTCACCCGGTCGAAGGCGGAAAACTGCACGTGCCCGGCCACCTGGTGCACCATGGAGATGGCGGCCAGGTACTGGGGAAGGCTCCGGACGCCCACCCGGCCCTCCTCCCGCAAGAAGCGGATGTAGCGGTAGATCGTAGACGGGCGGGCGGGCAGGGCCTGGAGCTCCGCGGAGGTGCAGAATGCCTGGAATCTGGAGAACTTGGCCTGCATGGAGCGCCGCGTCGACTCCGTGTAGAAAGAGAGAAACTGGGACTGCATCCACGCGCAGTCCGATTGCAGCAATCCGTCCACATCCAGCCCGTAGAGGGGGTGATCCGTCGGCAGCGGCTCCACCGGCAGCGGGTCATCCGGAGGAAGGTCGGGCTCCGCGGAGGGGGACCGGGCCCCCGCGCTTAGGGAGATCTCCGAGGGCGGATGTGAAACGCCCGTAGGTTCCATTTCGGCGGAGGAAGCCACGCCGGAAGACTCGGATCCCCGGGGCGAAACATGCCCGGATGGCGGGGAATCAGAAGCTCCTCCGCCGCAAGAGTCCGGAGCGGCGGGAACCAAAGCGCGCTCGGCCAATCCGGCGCGACGACGACGGCTTCCACGGCGGGCCGGGCGGCGAGGAAGGAAACGAGCCGGGGAAGGAGGCACCACGGGGGGTTGCACCAATTGGCTTCCCCCGTCCAGTCCTGGAGGAAGGCATCCGTCCCCGAACTCCCCACGTCCGCGTGCAGGCTGTTGTACCTTGGACAAAGGGAATTGGCCGCGGAAGCAAAGCGGTCGCACGTCCGGCGACCGAAACGCCGAGTCAGCCGGCGGAAGATGGCCGGATTGAGCTGGTAGTCGTCCGCCACCCGGAACCGCGACAGGCGGTCCGGTATGACGTTGTCCTCCGACCGGATGTAGTCTGGGTCGAGTAACAGGTGGCGGGTAGAGCAGACCTGGTGAAGCTGGCGAAGGGGGCGGAGGAGCTGCTTGGAGTGTGTAGTCATGCTGCGGAGGCAGTACATGACTACCTGGTTGTCGACCAGAAGTTTGAGTCTCGAAGGAAGGCCATGGGAAGCATCCGGAAAAAAGCTGCGGATGGCCAGCTCCACCGCCTGCAGCTCACGCACATTGATGTGCATCAAGGAACTGTAGCGCGCAGTGGCGCCAAGAGGGGAAAAGAACCCCAGACCAGACTCCAAGACCCATTAAGTACTGCACCCATCTCTCGCAGTACACCGGCTGGCGACCGGCGGGTCACTCTGATCCCTGATGACTCATCCACTGCTGGATAGTCCTATTACAGCGCCAAGTACTCCAGTACTGTGGCCTGCCTGATATTCCCAAGGATGGGATAGGTTAGAGATGCCGTTGCCAATCCAGGCACTCTCCTGGTAAAGTACTGGTGAAGTGATATATTGTAAAGGCGGTACGCATTACAGGCGTCCCCCGCCGGGGAAGACTCCGTCCCGGAGTCGAGAATACACAAAACAAACACGAAGACATATCACACGACACAAAGGCATGACAGGTACAACACAACCCAACCATGGGTCCACTGGAAAGAAAGGTGCGGTCATCCACAAGAGTCGGGTGCCTGATGCTGACACCTGATGGAGCCCAATC